TAATATTGATTAGTCTTGTATTTTTTTTAATCTCTATTGCCTAAGCTCTTGGCTTGCGCGGATGGTTGTGGAAGCTGGCGCCGGCTTTCCGCTCGTCCGTCGCTATCTGATGGGTGTTTATAATTACATGCACTTCTGGCCTACTTGGGCTTATCTACTACTCCTAATTGTTAATTAGTAGTTGCTAATTTAATCATTAGTATTTATAAATTATACAAATTCTATTTTTTTAATATAAGACGACGTTTGAATTTTATTTTGATTCTAGATATAAGACACTAGTCTATTTTATTTTTTATATTTATTTATTTTTTAAAGATAGTTTTTCTAATAATAGTAATTTTAGACTTTTAGCCAATAAACTTGAGTAGTAAAAATATTTTTAAAAAAATAACACCTATTTATTACAAATATCTAACTTAATTTATTTTTTCATTTATTTAAATTAGTTAATTAATTTTTATATTTAGAACAGATTAAATCCAATTGTACGGGGCTTCCGTGGGGCTGCAAAATGCACCAGTGCACAAAATCCCATATCCACAGTATAATAACAGTTCTTACAGCCTAACTTTACAAGGAGAATTACAACGAGGTCCCAAACAAGAAAAACAATTAAAAAACAAGTCCCAGAGGTTGTCATTCTCACTGGCTTGTTATTATAGACTGTTGAGGTTGTTATTGGGACCTTTCTGTAATTATTTCTCTTCTGTGGGATTTGGTTGTAATTCCCCCAACTTTATACCGGCGCCAATACTCGAGTTGTAGTGCTTTTGGCCAGAAAATGAGCAAGAGTTGTTGAATCGTCAAAAAAAAAAATCAACTGAGATTATGCTCTCTCCGTTTTTTTTTTTTTTTCCCTTCAATACAACCGAGATTATACTTTATTATTTTTAGTCGATGGAAAATTTCAGCTGCCAACTTTTTTCTTTTTTTCATTTTTCATTTTTTGCCTTTTAGAAGCCCTTGCCCATTTATTAACTCATCTAAAAATTCAAACAAGTTTTAGATGAATTTCTAAAAATAAAATGAATGTGAGGATAGTTTTATATTAGGACAATACTTTTATCAAATTCTTTATATTCATTGCATCAAGTTATCCAAGCACACGGTATGTCTTATTTTTGAAATATTATCACTTAATTATAAACACACATAAAAACAAACATAGTTATATGTGGTTGAAGAACTTGGACATAAAAAAAAATTAACCTAAATATTTTCTTTTATTTCATGGATAGATTTAATCAAAATTCTCTATGGTCCGTAATATAAAATGCTGGTTGGAATAAAATTATTGTCCAAAATATAAGATGCTGTTAGGATGATTAATGCAATTTTTTCATTTTCACTCCTACTAAATATAAGCTAGAGAGAAGAGCTATGCGAGATAATAAAAGTGTAATATTTAAAGCCACTTTACGATTTTTTAGGAGTAAAATTGAAAAACTATATCATTTTCCGACAAATTTAGCAACTGAATTTTTATTTCTTAGTATGTGTGAAAAACTAATTAACTTTTTACCACCTCTGATCCTTAATATAATACTTAATTGACTAATTTAAGGAGATTTAAAAAGTTAGTTGAGATAATTATCTGTAATGAATAAATATTGTATTTCCTAAAATACCATTACATTGATAGTAATTCCTTAACACATGCAGTTACTATAGGAATTACTTAAGGGCAAACTAAATAAATATTAGAGACAAAATGGATTAAAGTCTTATATTTAAAACCAAATTAAAAGTCGAACTAATTTTTATATTACCTCCAGTCCTAATTATAAGAGCAAGTTAACTAATTTGAGGAAATTAAGGAAAGAAGTTAAGTTAGTTATTTGTAATAAATATGTATTGTCTTTCTTAAAATATCCTTACTAGTTAAGTGTATTGGTTAGAATTATTATTATTAGAAGAATTATATTGAAAAAAATATATAAATATGAGAGACAAAATAGATTAGAGTCTTATATTTAGAACTAAAATAAAAGTCAAATAAGATTTTATATTAAATACTAGAGGTAGTATTAAATACCAAAAGTAGTATATTATAGACTAGAGTGTGCATATTATAGACTGGAGTGTGTATTTACTCTTGAATTACTCTTGATTCTTCTGATTTATAAATAATCTTTAACTTCTGCCCCTGTTCAACGAACGAAGACGAATGCACGATCAGGGAAATTGCACCGCTTCATGATATTTGGTCAAATCATGTCATGGGTGTGAGAAAGAAGTTAAGGTAGTACTCCTCCGATCCTAATTATAAGACTCAATTGACTTATTTGAGGAGATTAAGAAAGTAAGTTAAGTTGGTTATTTATAATAAATAAGTGTTGTCATTCCTAAAATATCCTTGCTAATTAAGTATATTGGTTAAAACTATCATTATTAGAAGGATTATCTTGGAAAAAATGCATAAATATAAGAGACAAAATGGATTGGGTCTTATAATTAGGACCAAATAAAAAGTCAAATTGGGTCTTATAATAAGGATCGGAGGAGTATATTATAGACTAGAGTGCTCTGGTCAAAAAGAAAAAAATACTCATCCGGTCTTTAATATAGGACCCAATTGTTGAGTTGGTTTTGGTTATAAATATAAGACCCATTTCTCATATTTATCAATTTTTTCTAAATTACCCCTATGGATACTCCCTTAACCATAATCAAATAGAAGAGGGAGATGGGGTATTAAGAAAGATGATTATGGTGTTTTAGGAAAAATGTGTCACTTTTCTTATAATTAACCAACTTACCTAACTTTCTTAATCTAATCAAATTAGTTAAATAGATCTTATATTAAGGATTTGAGGAATATTATAGACTAGAGTGTATATTTACTCTTGAATTACTCTTGGTTCTTTTGATTTATAGATGATCTTTAACTTCTGTCCTCGTTAAATGAATGTAGACGAATACATGACCAAATCATGTCATGATTGGGAAAAAGAAGTCAACTATCCCTTTCTCTGCCCATCTTAGTAGACGGGGCCACAGGGGAGTGGATATTCTCCAAGTTTTCTTATTCCACGCCTCTCTTTTTTTCATTATTAGACCAAATTTTAAGGGTTGAGATTTAATATTTTATTTAATAAAACGTAAAATAAATAAATTTAAAATATTAAAATATAATCTGAAACATTGACAACTTTAATCTGATCTATTTCCGATACTAGACTTTTATTAAAGGAGAATTTATTTTGCAAATACTTATAAATTTTCTTAATTTTTAATTATTATTTATGTATTTTTTTCTCTTAATTAAATGTTCCTGTAACTTTACTTTGGTGGGACCGTCATCCTTCGGGTAGAAGCTAACGGATATCACTCATCCCCCTAAAGATGTCAGAATTCAAGACACAAACCTTCCTCTCCTTAACTCATACTATCCCAATTCTTAATACTCCTTTGATCCTTAATATAAGACCCATTTAACTAATTTGATTATATTAAAGAAGTTAGGTAAGTTAGTTAATTATAGGAAAAGTGACACATTTTTCCTAAAACACCATAATCATATTTCTTAATACCTTCTCTCCCTCTTCTACTTGATTATGGTTGAGGGAGTATCCATAGGGGTAATTTAGAGAAAATTGATAAATATGAGAAATGGGTCTTATATTTAGGACCAAAATCAACTCAAGAATTGGGTCCTATATTAAAGACCGGAGGAGTATAAGTGATTTGTAATCTATTTCCGCATAAATGCATTAAATCAGCCCATACCGTCCAGATAGAACTTTACCTTTGTTAAAGTTCTGTCTTTATATTTACAATTCATTCCCACATCGGAATCCAGCTTCTGAAAAAAAAGAAAAGGAAAATATATGCCCGATCGGGGCGGTAATGACATTCAAACGTGGATGTGGATTTTTTTTTTTTTTAAATTTAATGCAACATAGTACGTTAGCAACTAATTAAAAGATAATGCTTAGCATTGGTGAGGATGTGATACTACCCAATGGTCAAAATCAAAGAATAATTCAAGCAGACAATAATCATATAATAGGAGAAACCAACAACCCCCCGCATCATTTCATTCGCACATTCATTAAAAGAAACAAAGAGGCTCATGATCAAGTTGCTCCGAGGTCCTTGTCATCCGGTTCTAATAAATTAGCGACACCTGTATATTTCTTGACTGACTCGCATTGCTTTCCCGTTTGGCTAGCCAAAATGTTGTTTATCCCTCTCGCACCCTTGCAGCACAGTATATGCTTATAAAAGCAGTTAAGTGCCGAATGCTCTTTATAACTTCAACCCTTCAAATGATATTATGATATTGGATGGTTCAAATTCAATTTAAATGTTTTTTATATTTTAAATGAGTTTTTTTTACTTTAATGGACACACAATTTAAAATAAAGAAAATTTATAAATGACATTTTTCCTACAAAATAAATTCATAAATAAAAAACACATATTAAATATTTTAGATTTAAATTATTGAAATCAGATTTTAAATGGTTCAAATTTCTTGAGGTCTCCCTTGATCCTGGATTATTTCCTTCCAAACACACTCATTTATTTAAATGAATAAATGAATCAGGCCCAAAAGAGGAATAGATACATAATTTAAAATAAAAAGAATTTATAAATGAAATTTTTTATATAAAATAAATTTATTAATAACAAACATATATTAAATATTTTATATTTAAATTATTAAAATTAGATTTTAAATGGTTCAAATTTCATGAGGTCTCACTTGATCCTCGATCATTTCCTTCCAAACACGCTCATTTATTTTTTTAAATGAATAAATGAATCAGGCCCAAAAGAGGAAATTGGACTGTTGCTTACTTAAACGACTTGGGCCTGTAGTTCCACACGCTCTCATTACGGGCTCGAGTTTGGGGGCGCGAAAGCGGTTGCAAACTGACGTGTCACAAGGAGAATAACTGCCATCGGAATCGATTCAACGTTACACTACAGTAGCAACCCAGAGGAATCTTTTATATTTCTGTCCTTGCGCTCCGATGATCAATGAACTCTACGCCGAGTATCATTATCGAGTCGACTCGGAATCTCCGTGTTTTTGCTATTTTCTTGTTATTCACAGTCGCCACCGTCAAAGTTTCTCACGTTCTCTATCGATATCTTCAACGAAATTCTAGATTTTCCTCAAATGTTCTCTTCTTCGTCTTCAGTAGATGGCGACGAGGCTCTTCGACGAAGCCGTATCCTTTCAAGCAAGCTCTACCTCGATGTCCCTCAGTTCAAGGTAACCTAGATATACTTGTGTATTCGAGTGCGCTTTAAAGGGAGCTTCTGGACTGAGAATGTGACCTATCAGGCTCCAGTTATCTATTCGAAGTCGTACAATATAGCTTTCCTGGGAATAGAGAAATTGTAAGTAAACATACTTTTCGTCACTTAAACCCAATTGCTTCTGTCCATTATTTTATTTTAGGTTAGGTTGTTGATAATTTAGTTCACTCTGAGAGTTCATATGGTCATTTTTTCTAAATTAAAAAAAAAAAAAAAGTGTCATAAGATTATATTTTGTTGGTATGATTTGGGACAAAGTAGAAGCATTAAAATCTAGATTGTAGATATTGTCACATCATTTTTGGGTATTGTATGGAACAAAAATGAAAAATTAGCTGAGCCACAATTCTGCAGACGCACAAAAAAAGGCGAGACAATTCGATGTTAAAAAGCTTTGTGGGCGGGGGCGGGGCTAATATTTGCTTTTCTTGATATCTCCTCTACTGACACGACCTTTTTCTTACGTGAGAGGGTTTATATTGGTTGCCAATAGTAGTGTCCAGTCCATTGGTGTCGTTAACTGTTACCGATGCAGGCACCCATTTGATTCATCTAAATGGGGAAACATTTGTCGACTCCTTATTGCATCTGGAATTCTAGACAAAAGTTGCATTGTTGAGCCTCAGGAGGCTTCCAAGGATGATCTCCTTGTGGTAATGTCTATCTTACTTGATATGCTTATGAAGCTGCATGCTCCCATCTCCGGAATTTGAATACCCACCCACCCAAAAGTATCAAGTCAATTTTATTTTTCTGTCTTTTAACAGGTACATTCAGAATCTTACTTGAATAGCCTGAAGAATAGTTCGAAGGTTGCTATGATGATTGAGGTATTTTCTATTGGCTTTGAGGCTTGAACCATTTACTTCTTGTCCTCTATACTTTTTGTTGCCCCCTTTTCTCTAATGGCGGTTCTTATTGTCTCTCTTCTATCGAATCATGTGTCCAAACCATTATTCAAACGGCATAAAAATGATGTCTTTTGATTTTGTTATTTTTGTTGGTTCCATTGGGCAACTTGGTTTCGCTTGAGTTTCACAGAATTCTTGCCACTTGGTTGATATTTGTTGAGGCTTCAAATCAAACACTTGATGCAAATTATTTACCTGTTTGAAAAACATAAGCATAGGTACCTCCAGTGGCACTGTTTCCCAATTGTCTGCTGCAGCACAAAGTTCTCTTCCCATTTCGAAAGCAGGTGTTGTGACTTATTTATTTCTTGCAGTTCTTTTAACTTCTCTGAAACTAGGGTCTCACATTTCACCACTTCTCTAATGATAGGTTGGAGGGACTATATTGGCAGCAAAACTTGCAAAGGAAAGAGGATGGGCCATTAACATAGGTGGAGGCTTCCATCATTGTTCAGCAGAAAAAGGAGGTGGATTTTGCGTGTATGCAGATATTTCTCTATGCATCCGCTTTGCTTTTGTTCAATTAAATATATCAAGGTATCTATGCGCTTCTATGCGCTTACAAGTTATTGTTTACTTCTAACTAACACTTGTATGATAACCATTTTTCATCTGCAAAATTTTCAGGGTGATGATCATTGATCTTGATGCACATCAAGGAAATGGTCATGAAATGGACCTTGCCAATGACGGTATGGTCCAAAATTTCTCTCTTTCTGGTATATGAATTTCCCACTCTCGCTGTAATTTGAGTATTTTATGGCAGACCGAGTCTATATCCTGGATATGTACAACCTGGGAATATATCCCTTTGTAAGTCATACGTCCTACGTTTCCCATAAGTTCAGTTTACACTTTAGTATATATATAATCTTGCATTCATAAAATAACTTTTCTTCTCTGCTCCTGCTTCTCATCCATCCGTACTGGTTTCACGCTGCCAAGGTCCTGAGTTTTAACGTACATTTGGTTTATCATTGTACTTTGGTATTGCTCCAAGTTTTATACGCTATTGTGGTGATGGGCTTAGCCTGAAAAGCAAATATCTAAAATTCTTTATTTCTTTCTCCAAGCAGATAGCCATAAACCTATTAATCTGCTGGGACATGAAGCACTGGTATCAAGCTTTTTACCACATCTGCATGACTAATCAAATGTACAGGAAACCATTCTATTGATAGCATTAACCTTTTAATTAGGGATGCTGTCAAGGGACTATCAGACCTAAAAGCCTAAGTATTTTAAAGGAGGGCCATGCAGGGTCATCACCATCAACATCATCATCACTAACCCCCCTCCTCACGGCTTTAAGTGTGGAGAAATTAAACTTGTCATACCCTGTGCTGGATTTTATTGTAACTAGAATGATGGTGTTGGTAAATGCCAATGATTGGACTCCCTATTGTTTGGTCGCTTTAGTACTGTGTGACATAATATTTCAACCCCAATGCTTAAGTTGTTAGGAGAAAAACTAGCAACGTTGCCGTTGTCATCAACATCTCAATAAGTTCCTTGTTTTTTGGCTCTAATAGGTGTTTTTCGTTATTATTTTGGAGGTTAACAAGTAGTAGCAATTTTGAATTAATTCGAGAAGTGCATGTGTTCTGATATGTGGCTGTCATCCACCTAACTCTTCTTTCCTACTTTCCATGTTAGGATTATGAGGCCAGAAGATACATAAATCAGATAGTTGAAGTGGAGGTATATATTCATTGAGTGAACATATTTTATCGTATATGTTTCTATCCGCACATATAATGATAAACTATTATTTCTTCCCTTTCCTTGACAGAGTGGGACACGTACAGAGGATTACCTGCAGAAATTAGACAGAGCACTTGAGGCATGTTAATTCTTGCATTGTTACTGGAACCTTGAATGTCCTATTATATTGGCTGGCTTGAATAATTTACTGCCCAACAATTGTTATGAATATCAATGCAATTTTTAGTATTTTATTCTAGCAAGGGTAGGCAGAATATTTTGTCAAGTTTCTAATTCTAGGTGATCGCCAAAGTTTAAAATGATTGTTTTATGTATTGATTTGTTTCTTTCCATGTAATTAAGATTGCTGGCCATATGTTTGATCCTGAGTTGGTCGTTTATAATGCTGGAACTGACATTCTGGACGGTGATCCATTGGGAAGGTTGAAGGTAATGTCATTCATGGATTCACTTCATTGCAGTATAAGATGAACCCCCTAAACTTTAATAGCTTGGCCATTATTTTCTTGATATGTGGTTTCCTTGAGAAAGTTGTAAGTTGTTAATATGGGATTGCGTTTATTGTTGGTTTTTTCATCATTTTCTACAGTGGTTATTATAATGGTTTGTACATGCAGATCAGTCCTGAAGGAATTGCTCTTCGGGATGAAAAAGTTTTTCAATTTGCGTGTGAGAAGAAGGTTCCAATTGTCATGCTCACATCAGGTCATTCCCCCATCCCCTTTTCCCTCTCCCAAATATAATACGAAACACAAGGGCCCTGAAAACTTTTTTTCATTGGATCCCATGGGCATGAAAACCTTTTATCTCTTAAAAATGACCCGAACCTAAAAATTATAATCACATTAGAATGTGACTGTTTTGCAGTAAAATAGTCATTTTTTTTTCAAGTCACTGCTGAATGACCATATTTATTCTTTTTGCCTGTTGTGTATATTGTTCGGATCTTTTCAGTATCAAATTTGATAGTGAGGGTGTCCCTGATAGTTCGTCCCGATCTTTTCCATATTCCATGCGGAAGTAATTGTATCACTGGCGCCAAGATTACTTATTGTAGAACTTGCACGGAACACTTCTTTTTAAGTGTTTCGTCAACTTATCGCAATGCCTTGCTGGTCTTCCATTTCAGGTGGTTACATGAAGTCCAGTGCAAGAGTCATCGCAGATTCTATAGTCAATCTTTCGAATAGATGTTTGATCGATACTAGACAAAGTTCAAAGTTTAAATAAGATGCTGTGCAATTCCAGGTCCGTGGCCAGAGTTTCCAAAGCATAATCTGGATCAGAATGTTGCTGTATAAGTTGAACTTCAGTGTATAGTTTCCCCCTCCTATAAAGGAGGTGCAATATAGATCTGAGTTGCTAGTTTTTATCTGTTGACGTGAAAATGGAGTCTGCATAAATGAGTTATGTTTAGTGAATAATTTTTCACTTTGAAGCATTCAATCAACTCACCCATCATCTTCCAAAAATCACCTCTGGTTATCACAACAAAATAAAATAAAATAAAATAACCTCTGGTCACCCTTGAAATAGACGATGGCAAGTTAATCACGTGACAACACGTGGGCTCATTTTTCCTTTTTTCAGATCAGAAGACATGAATTATAAATTTACATGCATCATAATTATTTGTTTTTTTTTTTCAATGAACTGCCATATATTAACATAGATTCTCTCTAATGATAAGAGGATCCCTTGAAGAGAGAGACTGTGTTTTACCATTTTCTCCGTTTTAGTGGTTCCTCTACCCACTGAAGTAGGTCTAGATCTGTCATGTATGGTGCAGAATAAGTGTAAAATTGAGATCAAATATCGGAAGGCTCTGCAATACCCAGTTCAGCTCTTCCATGACAGAGTCAATGGCTGTTTGACGGAGGCCATATATCCATTGTTCTTATACTTAACCCCCGCCGAACTTGATGAGCGATGACTATTTCAATGACGCGATGACAAAGTGCATTACCTCAGCATTTGAGGCAGGACATGACTGTTCGGAAGAGAACTTGCTTAGTTTAGCTGAGAAACATGGTTTCTTTGTTCTGTTCATGTCCGCGAGATGATTAAAAAATTGTGCCTAACACGACGTTAGGAATATGCCATCATCTAGTTGATCGGTGGACGTGATCGACCATTACAATGGTTGATTGCTTCATTTGAAAGCGTGAAAAGGTAAATAGCAAAATTTATCAATCAACTCACAGGAATAAATGAGGATGGAAGACAATTGACATGGAGGCAATGAAAAGCTCATGTTCGCACTCACGAGAGGTGACAGACTATGCGGGAGCTGTCGGCCATTGAGATATGAACCGAACAGGGTCCTATCTGAAAACATTTGCGCCTCTTCTCTGATAATTCAGGGACCGATCTGAAAGGATTATGCTAATCAATTCTGGGTCCGATCTTTAAGGCAGTGTTCTTACTTTTTTTTTTTTTTGGACTGAAAGGCGGTGTTCTTACTTTTAATAATGCATGTAAAATCACACGCATTCACGGCTACATACATAAAACTTCATACTCTCTCATGAAATTTAAATTTAATTAATTATAAATATTTTAAGATTTCAGTTTCCAACTTAATTGAATCAGATTAATCAGTCATTTCACATATCCTTTATTTATAAGAATGATAATTAAAATATCCTATTTTTTTCCTTAAATATGGTTACATTATATTTAATAGTTCTTCCATTTAAAAATTAGTTGCCCTTCATGTACTTCAAGGGAGATTAATCCCACCACCACCCCACGAGCAGCAAAGGATGCTCTTCGTTTAAAGAAAATTGTCGTTCATTTTTCTCTCCTATAAGAAATTATATCTTCTTTTTAAATATCATACTAAGAATGACTAAGTTGATGTTAAACTGAATATGAAATATTGATTGTATTTTGAATATCATAGTAAAAATGATTTTACTAGTTTACTTTTTTAGAATATGAATTTTCATAAGAAAACTAATTTCTTACAAAATTATTAAAGAATCAAATCTTTATATATAGAAAATAACAAAAGTAATTTAACAAAATATGATTGGAAATAGTGTCATTTACCTCTTTGGTTGAGTTAGGGAAACATTTAGAGAAAATCCATAGAAACATAGTGAAATTTTTATTATAGTGGAATGTACTAGTTAATTTTTTTTAACAATGTACTTACTCCAATCTTTAATATAAGAGTTAATTGACTAATTTGAATAGATTAAGAAAATTAGTTATATTAGTTATTTGTAACAAATAGATATTTTTCCTAAAATATTGTTACTAGTCAAGTGTGTTGGTTAAAGCTATTATTATTATAAAAACTATTTTAAAAAAAATAAATAAACATGAGAAATAAAGTAGATTGGAGTTTTATATTTAAAATCAAAATAAAAATCAAACAAGCTTTTATATTATGATCCAAAAGTAGTACTAATTATTCTTTTTTCTGTTTTTCTCATTTTCCTTTGTTTATAAAGCCATTTTACGCTATTCATTCTTGTCATAACCTTTTATATCATTTTCATGCATGTACATTCTTTCCAATAACTTCCATATGATGTAAAAACTGTGGTTGCTAATTAAATAGGAATATATATGGGAAAATAAAATAGTGTGATTATATTAACCACCTGAATTTAAAATTGCTAGCCGGATCAAGGACCAGGATTTTACAAAATAACCACCGGAGAAAAGGGTAGCATCGTCAAACGTTGATTTTGCGGCAAGTTGTCGTGCAATAAATTATGACTGCAAGTTGACCCTTCACCTCCCTGTCTCCCTGGTCCTCGTTGTTCTCACTTCTCAACTGCCCTCATCCTCTCTCGGCTGTTCCGTCGGAGGACGCTGGTCACCACCTCAGAATCCGCTGCTAAACGGCGCTGTTCTCCTTATCATACGGTCGCCGGCGCAGCAATGTCGAGAAGTAGATCCCCATCGTCCTCTTATCACTGTCAATTGCTCGTCGTATTTATTCTTTTACTTCCTTTCTTCTCACTTGCTTTAAGGCCAGTTGTACCGGATCGGCTTGACCTTGTCAATATAACTGAGTCCAATGTCTCTCTGTCCCGGCCAAGAGAGGGCAGCTTCGCTGACATGATTGATCGAGCTCTGGAGCACGAGTTCACTGAGCACGATCAAATTGAAGGTTCCTGGATTCGAGTTCCTTTTGTCTGTGTAACAGTTTTTGAAAATTATCTATTTCAGCTTGATTGTATGCTTCCTGAGGATTTCTTATGAAATCTTTACTATGCTATTCGTGCCATTCTATTTAATCTCTCCAGATCATGAAATCTGATCTGTGAACATGAGCCATTTCCATGTCCTCTCTGCTCTTTGATATTTCCCTGGTAAAAGGAAGATTTTTCTAAATCCAAATTATGTGCTCAGCTATTTTGATGCAGCTTATTATCTTGCATGTCATCTCTTCTCTTTTCCTTTCGGGCGCGCGCGCATTAATTTTCATACTTGATATATGTAATTGGAGAAATTTCAAATATGTATATCGTTACATTTATGTTGTCCTTTTGCCTCTTCGTGCCAGCAGTACCTGATAAAGGAGGCTTTAACAACAGTGTAGCAGAACAGCAGGTTTGTTATATCGTGATCCTTGATTTCAAAATTTGAATAATGATAATATCTTGATTCTATTTGAGATTATTACATTTGTTGATGAGATTGGAAACCATTATATTACGAAGAACACGCATTTCACATTTGCTTCATGAGTCATATTCTGTGACCAACATTGAATCGTCTTCATATGGTATTTTCCGCGAGGAAAGTGCGAACGTAGATTCTTTGAATTTGTTATATCTCTGGTGTGCACGTCTCTCCTTGCTTTGTGATGTGAATTTTTCAAAAGAGTCGATCTGGCTGGGCTTCCAGCCCTTAGTTTGTGGTTCCCTAGGCTTTAATCTTCTCAATTCCACTTCCATTCTATCAATATGTTAGATTTTCTGAGTTTGATAGGATGCTGAGTGTTTTTCATTGCCTTATGTGTGGACCAGGCAGTGCTGGAAACGGTGGCCAGAGTTAAGCCAAAAAAGAATGACACGAAAGAAGAAAAGTACATATTTCAAGTTTTAAATTAGTTTGAGTGTATCTTCCAATCGCACGAATTGGCTTTCTGCAATTGAGCACTTAGTACGTACTTTTGTTTCAATACGGATAAGTATGCTTTTCTATTCTAACAGGTCATTTCAATTCCATCAAGTATTCAATTTGGACAATGATAATAGAGCCGAAGATACCCCCATGTTAATAGATCGGAAGGTGAGGTGACAAGTTTATAGGTTTTCCCTTTTAGTGATATTCAATTGGATGTGTAAATTCTAAATTCATAAATTATACGCTTTTCTTACAGGACAATGTATTTATAATTTCTAACTTTAAATCCAAGTATCCAGTGCTGCAGCTAGATTTAAGGTAAATTTAATTAACTCTCTCTGTTTTCTAAATACGTAGACTTGACTACTGATGTGAACTTGTTTTAACGATTGCATTGTAGATTAATTTCAGACCTTGTAGTTGCAATTGTTTCAGCAACTTGTGGCGGTGTTGCATTTGCCTTTGCTGGACAACCGGTCTGAACATTCTTGTTTTGAATTTAAATCTTGAGAACTGCAATCTTTGGTTATGCTGTAACATCTTTTTGCTAGAACTCTAACATAACAACCCCAAACTATAATTTGACAGGTTATTACTGGATATCTGCTAGCAGGCTCTGTAGTTGGACCTGGGGGTTTTAACTTCATCAGTGAAATGGTGCAGGTAAAAGAAATGTCAAAGTCTCTCTTCACCTTTTTGTTTATATTTATCAAGATGGGTCTATCTACATCTTTGGTTCACTTCAGTTGGACTTTGTTTTTGTGATGTTCTTAATGCGTGAGAAAAGATGATCGTAACACCTGACGAAATGCTGGATATTTATGGGCGACAAACTTGAAGCTCTGTTTCTTGTCCAATTATCTTTTATGCATTACGTATGTAGGTGGAAACTGTGGCTCAATTTGGTGTAATATTTCTTCTGTTTGCATTGGGCCTGGAGTTCTCCATGACCAAGGTTGGCTTATGCTTCTGATTACTTTTTCTTTCCTGTTATGCATTTATGCAGTAACTCTGAATTAACTACCTTGTACCTCTATAATTTCAGCTTCGAGTTGTTCGAGCAGTTGCTGTTCTAGGAGGCCTACTTCAAATTTTTTTATTTATGTGCTTATGTGGAGTTGCAGCCTTGGTATTATTTTTTATGTTTTTAATTTACACTCTTTGAGCTTTCGCTTTGTTATTCGTCTTTATCACATTCAATTACTTATCATGAGATTCAAATTGTAGAAATCCACTTTTATCATCACAAGACGTTCATGCCATATTTTTTGGTTGCTATCTAATTTATTAACTACTTAAATTGCCTTATTGTCTTTCTTTTTCTTTTTGGATAAAGCTTTTGTCATCCTTTTTGTACAA